TATTTTTGTCATGAAAAATTTCCATTAATTTATTCACAGCAGAAATTTTGTTACAAACAGATCATTGTCCACTCCTAACCATTTTTGGATCCAGAAAAGGAATTCCAGTGCACACCACAAAATGACTACAATGTTGGGCTACCATTATTATTCAATTATAACTTCAAAATGTTATGATGACAGGCACAATAAAATTTCTCTGAGAACTCTTAAGATACACTATCAGATAATGGTACTCAATTTACATCCAGGGAATTTCAAATTTCTCCAAGGTGTATATGCATTGAAACTCCACCTTATCACCCTAGATTCAATAGGCAAGCAAATTTTACAGCATTTTCTATATTTGTACAGAGACACCAAATCCTAACAATATGTTGAGGAAATCAACTACTGATTTAATGTTCTCGAAAAAAAATAAAAACTATATTTAATAAATTTCCAAATGAGATTCATTAAGAAGACAGTTCTTACAGTAACACAGCTGTTTAAAATTCTTGTTTTTGTCATATATCCAACATGGCACATGAATGAAATATTCAGAAAAAATACAATTCGTCAGTAACATTTAAACACCTCATAGAATGCAAAGAAAATATGTGAAAAATGATACTTGGGGGTTAGCATTAAGAAGCCATGTGCAATTTTCTGAGAAATATCACATTTTTTTTATGAAAAAATATTTTTATAGTTCAAAAAAATTTTTTCAAACTTCAATCCTTTCCCTTCAAGTTGGTGTGAATATCATTGAGGAACCACTATATGGCCTAATGATGGGAAATACGAAAGACATGCAGTGTAAAAAAAAAAAAAACAATGTTGTCTGCTAAGTATTATTGTCATCACCCAGGTCACGAGGTGTTAAAAAAAAACAAAACAAAACAAAACACATCAAGCCATTATTCAAACATAGGTTTGAAGACCCCCCCCTTGTATCAAGCACTTTTTACCAATGTTTCCACCTATTTTTTTTTTTTTTCACTCTTTGCTCTTATCTTGTAAGTGGTGGGACAGCTTGTACTAATGTTTATTGCTGGCTCGCTGCTGGCCTTTGACCCAGACATATCAAAGTCAATTTGGCTTAATTTTCTTTATCACTGCTATTTTTTGGGAAACAAAAAAAAAAAAAAAAAAAAAAAAAACAAACTTGGTGGTCAGGAATTGTGGATAAATCTTTTGCCTTTCATTAAAGATTTCCGTGGCTGGGTGTCAATTTTTCTGCATTTTGACCCCCTAGGAATGTTGTTTTCCTTCAAACTCAAGTTTATTCCTGAGTGATTATGATTGAGGCTTTCTGATTTTAAAAAAAGGTTAATTTTCCTTTAATGAGGAAAATTTTTGTTTAGAAAAAAAAAAAAAAAAAAAAAAAAAAAAAGCAAAATTTTCACTATTTTTTCACATTTTACTCACTGAAAAAAAATTTGAATCATTTACACCAACCAATCTTACTTTTAAATATTTTTTGCTTTCAGAAAATACCTAGTTTCATCAGGTTCAGATAAAAAGTTTCTTTGATATTTCGTTCAAATGATGACAAAACAGTCATTTTTCAATATTTTACCTTGTTTTACTCCTATAAAAGTATAAAAATTCATTTTTTTTTCAGAAAAAATAAGCTGTGACAAAATGATTTGCCATTTTTGTGATGATTTTTACTTAGGATAGAAAATTTGTTACCATAACAAACCTGAATTTATTTAAGTTTTGGTATGTATCTCCACAAGATCGCTAAAAAAAAGAGCATAGCATGAAGAAAAAGACACTAAACTTGACGAAAACAAAATTTTATCGTCTAAATGTTTGTTATTATTAAGAGGAAAGATCAAAGTATTTTGGGGGTAATTTTTTACATTTTTAATCGTTTCTAGCATGTCCGAAATTTTCGTTAAAAATCTTTTTTTTTTTTTTTTGAGTCAGCAAAATTGATCATTTTTTTTCCATTTTCTAAAAAAACTGAAAAATCTCCTTTTTAAATATCAATCATCGTTTTTTCAAAACTTATTTTAAGAAAATCAGAAATTTTAATGTTTATTTAAAATTTATGAACAATGCTTAACTTAGCTTCTGTGCCGAAAAGATGTAATTTGAAAATAAAACAAAGCAGGTCATAAACTTTCGCGTCACTTGACAGGTGATGAAGGACATATTGACAGATTTCGTGAGGATAATTTGTTCTACAGAAGGAGAAAAGTAAAATTATTTACATTTAAATGAACAAATTTTTCCCTCATTATTTTTAAGGAAAACTTTCAGCGCTCTAATTTTTTTTGTTTTTTGTACTTTACGTTTACAATGCTTTATAGAAAATCTTACTTATTGTAAAATGCAGATTGTGTGTATGTGTGTCTGTACATTTATATATTGGATCGGATTTCCTACATTTTTCAACCGATTTCAACAAAACTTCACAGGACTCATGTAAAATTACCTTTGCGGTGGTTCTGACATGTAAAAATTGGAAAAACAATTGTTTTTTGTACCTTTAAATCAATTTGAAAACACGATAAAACATGATTCTGTCACCAGAATAAAAAGGGGACAACTCATATCGAGTTATACTTATAAAACCCAGGTTGTTTGTGCGTGTGTATGTTCGTTTATATATGGGATCGGATTTCCTACATTTTTCAACTGATTTCAACAAAACTTCACTATTTTTTTTTTTTGCAGGTAGTGTCTTATTGTCTTGCACACTTTTTTCTTTATTTTTACATTCAGAATGCTTTAAAAATTCCATTTACAAGACAATTGTTTATAATAACATTCTATTCAATCGGTAGACTCATAACGACTGAAAACAATGTTTTTGTTTGAGTTTGACCAATTCGTAAAAAAAAACAAAAACTAATTAAGACATGCGTGTCCGTCAACCTTAAACAATAATCTTTGTCAATTTTATTTTTCAGTCTTTATGATGGTCTATACTTGATCTATCTCTTACTGTTACATCCCCGGGCAATGCCAGGCTCTACTGCTAGTATATTATAAAGAAATTAAAATAAGTCTGTTAAGAGTGAGATTAGATTTCATAAGAAAGGTATCTAATTAATTTATAGGTACCTTTCTTATGAAATTTTATCCGAAGTGTACATAAAATACTATAATTTTATGCACATTTATTACATTTTACTGTGTTATTTGTATTCATTTTATTATTAATTTTGATATTTCATAAGATGATAGTGATACTTGTAGGTACCCTTCACAGCGGAGAACAATTCTTAACTCAAATAACTCAACTTAATTGTATTCTGGTTGGTCTTCTGTACTTTATAATTACAGCCCGATTATAAACACAAAATTACATTTCTTATTTACTGCAGGTCTTCTGATTAGTAAAAATGATACAATTTACAACGTGCTAAAAAAAGATCTATCTCATATGAACACTTAGGAAACCCAATGCAGCTTTTAACTAATTTTATAATATTTTAAGAACTTAAATGTAAAAATATAATTAAAAAATAACATAATTGTATTAAACATGCATTTTTCATAGAGAAAATTTTTTGCTTACAGAAAATATTGTCCATATTCATAAAAAACAACTAAAAGCAAATAAAAGCACTTGAAATTAAATAATATCTTTGTTTTATTGAGTTTTGTATATTACAATTCAGAGCTGATTTTCAGGTAGGGGGGTGGGGGTCCAAAAAAAAAAAAAAACAAACCATGATTTGCATTCCTGAAAGCCTTGGGGGGGGGGGAATAAATATAAAAAATATTTCTGCCATGACTAATAAAAAAAAAAAAAAAAAAAAAAAACATTTATATTAATTTCGATCATCTGTGAATAGTTTCTGAAAGTTTCATTAACATCCGACAATTATTTTTATTTTTTGCAAGATTTTCCAAATTGATGTGTCACAAAAAAAAAAAAAAAAAAAGTGATTTTACTAGTTCCGATGATACAAAGAGAAACAAGATTTTTTTTTAATCAAAATTTAGAATGTTCTAGAAAGAAGGAAAAATTTTAAGAAATAATTAAAATAAATTTTGATCTTTCTTTCTAATAATAATATAAACATTTAGATGGTAATATTTTGTTTTCGTCAAATTTGGCATCTTTTTCATCATGCTATGCACTTTTTTTAGCGATCCCATGGAGGTACCTAGGCTATAGGAACCCTCATAAAGCTGTGGTAAGTGTATCTATTTTGAAATTTCTTTTTCATAAATAGATCAAAATTATTTTCATGTCAGCTATTTTTATTTTATAAGAGTAGGGAAGAAAACTCACTTATGCATAAATATGACTTAATAAATCAGTATATTAATAACTCTAATAAAACTCAGACACTATCTAAATTAGTAATTTAGTCAATGTAGCTTCCGTTATTTTGAATTACAACCTTAAAAATCTGTGCATCCCTTTAGCACAAAATACTTCATGGGTATTATGAAATAGTGACTTGGTGTATGATCTGAGGCCCAGGTCATCATGTACAGCCATTCTAATATTCCTCAGGTTTTAGTTCAGCAGCTATCATATGCATGAATGTTATTGGTTCCTTTAGGCTTTAATCAAGTCCCAATTTCACTTTTTGTTAGCCCTGCCACTGCTCATGTCTATTGTCTTCATGACTAGACCCTGTGCAAGGACACACTATGTTGAGAATATTATTAGAATTGATTTGTGTGTGAAGCCAGCCTAACACTCTTTACCATTTGTTCTTCTGTCAAGCCATTTTTCATGATATTCTTGAAAAATAGAGGTGTATTAATAGCTGACAATATACTCCTTGTTCTGTATTTGGTTTCACATAACTGAGTAGCAGTTGTTGATGTTGGAGTGAAAATTTAAATTTTATTGTAAGTTTTTCTTCTGCCCTTTTTAAATTTTATGATTTTTCATTAAATAAAACAAATTAAAATCATTTCATTGAGATACAATCTAAAGAATATTTAACAAATCAATTGCAACAACTTCAGAAATAAAGCTAAATTTCTTAAATAGAAAGAAATTAAAAAAATAATTTAAATATGATGAGTTGACTGACCTTTAAAATGTTGAGAGGAGGAGTTGCTGCTCTGACTGTCACTGCTTGTTTTATTTGTAACTGGGATTGCATCATCATCAGAACTGAAAATACATAATTAGGTTCACTTGAACAAAATATATAAATTTTGAAAAACAAAAGTAAGGAAGAGAACAAATATGGCATGTTGATTAATAAAATATTTTAATTTTGTAAAAAAAAAAAAAAAAAAAAAAAAAAAATAAAAAAATAAAAAAAGTGTACATTTCATAGTAATATAAGGATTACGGAAAATTAGTTAAAGTAATCAAATCAAAATTTTCTTTTCAGAAAAAGTAATGAAACATACCTATCCAACTGCTTGGGGGGTGATTGTCCCCACACTTCAGGTGCTCCAAGTTCACCGATACGCTCCCGTTCATAACGTCGTCTACAATTACAAAATTGTTGTGCATATACCATTTGATTGAAAGGAATTTTTTTTTTTTTTTTAAAAACAGGGCATAAAGATTTTAAATGAAATTTGCTTCAGTAACTCAAAATTTTCAAAAAAAATTAATATATTTGTGCCTTGCAAAATCTTTCAATTTTCATTTTTTTTCTGATTTGGTTCCTCAGTTAATTTATTTACTGAAATAAAAAAAAACATTTTCATCACTGATAATAAATGGAGGAGCAAATATGCAATTATTACTATAATAAAAAATTATTTTATAAAGAAATCAGAATATGGATTTTCTGAAAAGCATTATTGGAAATAGAAAGAAAGTGAGGAAAAGTTGTTTAATATACTTATTAAATGCAAGAGACAAATTTTGCAAAAATGTAAATAAATAAATTAAAAAAAAAAAAGAAAAAAGATTATCTCTGAAAATTTTACCTTTCAAAAAAATCTGGTGCTAGTCCAGGCCGGTTTCTTTCTGATGGTTCACCTCCCCAGGATGATTTGTGATAACTATCATTGAAAATAATGTAATTTAATTATACAATAAATAAATCAAGTGTCTAATTGAATTGAAAATTTCAGTATACACTTTGCTATTCAGACCAACATGCCCATCTTTGTTATTATACTCACAACATTTTGATCATTGTATCCATCCTCTGGATTTTTCAGGTATATTATCTTTGTAGAATTTAAAACCAAATGCTTTATTATAATGATATTTTGTCATCCCAAAAATTCTGATGAAAATTAAAATTTTAGTATTGCCTGGTTTGAAGCACCAAATATTTTATTAAATGTCACCTTTGTTTGCTGGTTGGTTTTGCTAAAGCAAGAAAATACATAAAGTTAAATGAGTCCTACACTAATTCAAATCTTTCACCAAAGAGTAAAAGTAAAAGGACATTAATATACCAGTGTACCATTGCTGAAATATTTAGGTCAAATTAGCTTTGAAATAAATAAGTTTTCTAGCTTTTTTTTTTTTAATTTATTTTTTTTAGCAGTTGTAATTATTTCTATTTTTATAGATGTGTGAATAGAGTAATGGTTATCAGCACAGAACGTGGAATCAGCAAATTGAGTTCAAATTCTAGCTTACTGTTATCTTTATTTTTGTGTAAATGCCTTCAGGAAAGGCATGAATTCATTTTTTTTTTTTTTTTATTCACTCAGTTATGGGTTAAATTTGCTTGGTAAACTGGGCTCTCTGGCCTTGGGTGTCAGCCAGTGTAAGAGATGGATTATTTAGAATTCAAAAATATGGAGAAGGCAACAGGAAATCCCTCCACTGTCTTTCCTAAGCTGCAGAGAACCATGATCCCCTACATCCTGAAGGGATGTTGGCATTTACAAAAAGACAAAATCATTACTATGATTTACTTAATTATTATTTCTTTCAAATACAGATGTGTTAAACTCATTTAAAATGAAAAAAAAAAAAAAAAAAAAAAAATTAACACCCTTTGAATTTTTATTACATTTTAACAAGATTTTTCTCATTTTAAAGTATGCCTGTTCTAAATTAGAAAAGTTTATTAATAACAATTAAGAAAAAAGAAACAAAATTTTCAGTATTTAGAAATTTTTTTTTAATTTTTTAAAAATATTCTTTATAAACTATACTTATCATTCATTTCATCTATTAGAAATAATAATCTTCAAAAACATTAATTGTTTTATAGCTAACATAATATATAGTGAATAGAAAAACAAAAAAATTATAGCACATTTCTGAAATAATCTATGGCTATAAAGTCAGAAATTGTTTGCTTGCATGTATTATATATAGTCAACCAAACAGTGAGACCTAGGGTGCTGATGATAAATATATAAAGGTAGTGCTGACCTCCAAAGTCAGTAGAGGTTGCCAGTGGTCAATTAAAATTGTTATTTATTTTTTTAATACTGTTAGTTCACAAGGACCAAGAGCTACTCAAAGTAGAAGGGATTACTGAACAAGGGAGGGAGAAGGAAGGATTAAATGTGCATGTTATGAGGACATGGAGGATAGATATCAGTTGACTCTGTACTTAAAGAAAACAAGATTGTAGTTGTGAGGGAAGCATCCTCTCTAGAGTTTGTTCCACAAAATAACAGTTCTGAGAAAGAAGTTTTCTGAGTGGAACTTACTCTTTATCAAAGGAACATGAAGGGAATGGGGTTGATTGGTCATTGTGAACATGGATGTGGAGGTCCAAGCTGGTGGAATTAAAGAATGTAACTAGTTAGAACATCTGTCATAATAATAATGATAAAGTAGTGTAAGGCTAGTTACATTTTGTCTGTGGAATAAGGGTTGCAAAGTGGAGAATAAATCATTGCCCACAAGTACACATAATTGCTTTTGAACTGTATTGAGGCTGGACTGTGAGGACTGGGCAGCACCAGCCTAGATATGGTAGCAATACTCCATTCTTGGTCTAATTCAACTCTTGTAAAGAGAGCATAGCAGCAGAGTTAGGTATTTTCTAGAGCAATACAAGGAACTAATGACATGATACATGTTTCATTGGAGGTCATGAGTGATGCTGGGACCTAGTAGGATTTCAAGTCAAGGAGCCTCTTTGAGGGTATAAACACTCATCAGGATTGATGCACATTTAGAGTCTGTTTGGTGATGATGAAATGTTACTACTTTTGTTTTGGAGGTATTAAATTATGTTGCCCACCTATTGAACTTTGAAAGTTAGGTCAGAAGAGAGATCAGCTGCCAGATACTAGTCGTCTAGATATTTGGAGATGCACCCATACACTGTGGTATCAACTGCATATATATTCACTAAGGATCTGAGAATATTCTTAGGCAGATCATTAATATAAAGCAAATAAAGGATATGACCGAGGAGAGAGCCTTGGTGGTGCATCTGCATTGATCTCAGGTGCCTCAGAAGACTGGTCATAAATGATGACCTTCATAGACTTGATAAATGAGAGGACTCTCCCAGAGATACCATAGATGGCAAGTTTGTGTAGTAATCCTCCTGTGCCACATCTTGTCTTCAAGATATCTAGGGTGATCACTCTCGAGATTTTTTTATGCTGAATATATAGACAGCTATAGAAACTATTAATCAGATTTGAAGTTATCCATTTTAAAACCTGATATGCTTATAGGCATTCTTTTCTCAGGAAAGAATTCTCATGCTGTTCATCTAAAAGTATTATCAACAAAAACTTTTTGCATTTTGTCAGAATACTGATTGTTATCCTGTTGGTAAAATTTATTCAAACTTTAAGTCTTAATTATATTTGTCCCAAGCAATGCCGTGTACATACTAGTATGTATATAAACCTAGATTTAAGGTAGCAGTGTGTCAGAATAAAAGCTCCATTTGTGTTTATCTTCTCATATATAGTTCCATGGTATTTAATACAAAAATCACTATATTGTCAGTTACTTGCTCAAATTTTAAACTTAAATTCTGGTTTTAAAATGGATAACTTCAAATTAGTTTACAACTACATGCATATATAAGTAACAATTCTCTAAGAAGATGTACTTAAAATACATAAAAGGAAAATATTACTCATTAGAATTATTATCCAACCTAAACTTTATAAAATTTTAAGATTATTTTTCAAAATTTGACAGTAAATAACATTTGCTGAAATAAATAAGATAAATAAGAAAAAATTAAATGTCCTCAGAAGAATTTTTTTATGTAGTCATTCACTGAATAAACAAGATATAAAATGCCAACATTTCAGGAGCTACTGAAAAGTTCTTAGACTAAGAAGCCCTAAAAACCAAATGTGAGGTTTGGTCATTTTGGAGAAATAGGTCAGGCAAAGAACTTTTCAGCACCCACCTATTTACAATGTATTCAGTTACGAACCTTTTTGTTATTGATTGGCCAAAATTGCCATTTCTTGAAGAATCAGTATTCCTGTTGTCAGTAATTTTTGCAGTAGGTGATACATCTCTAGGCACTTTGAATTTTCCTTTAGGAAATTGATTTCCAACAAGAAGATTCCATTGTTGATTAGTAGATGGTGAACGAGATAAAGTTGGATTCCAATCTTTATATGAGGCTTCTTTATCTTTTGACTTCCCTGGGGACAAAGAAGCAGATTTGGATTTCCTAAACTCTCTGGACAGTTTTTCATACCTTGTGTGATGTCTTATTCTGTTAGATGATGGTGATTTGGAATTTCTTTCATTAATGGGGGACTTATAATTCCTCTTTGTTAAAGGTGATCGTGATTGTTTTTCAGATGACCTTGATCGTTTTCTGGTTTGTGACCGTGATATTCTTCTTGTTTGAGATTGTGATTTTCTCAAATCAGATGAGCATGATCCCTTTCGATCACATTGATTGATTGATTGAGATTTTCTTGTTGAAGGTGACTGTTGCCTTCTTTTGTGCCCTGAGCATGTCTTCATTGATAATATATCAGATCTTCCTTGAATTGAAGATTTTAATTCTGATAATCTTTTAGTTGGAGATTTTGATCTTGTGGGGGATGGGTTCTTTGAAATGGATGGTGTAGTCATTGAATTTGATCTAGGAAAATACTTTGCAGCTGGAGATTGTGATCTAGAACGAGATGATGGAAAAGTTCTAGATGTATTTTGGTAATAGTTGCCATGTCTCTCAAAAGTTTGGTCATGGATAGCTGAATTTCTAAATTGCCTATGAAACTTTGACCTTGATCTATTTGGCTGTCGTCCTTTTTTGCTTTTTGATGATTTTGAACAAATTCCAGAACTAGAGTCTGAATGAGAACATGAACTTAATCTTGAGAGGGAGCCAGAACTAGAAGATGAATTCTCCTTGGGACTTTTTCTCCTTTTAACCTGTTTTCTTTCAGGTAAACTTTCAGATGAACTTGAATTTTCATTGGATGAAGAAGTGTGTGTCATTATGAAAAATCTTCTGAATGTAAATATTAAAATTCTGAAAAAGAAAGAAAAATCTTTTAGAAGCTATGTAATAAATATAACCTAAGTAAATAGGTTTCTTCAAAGTTTAAATAATAACGACTTTCTAAAATACTTAATAACATATCTAGAAAAAATAAAAACAACCTGCATAAGACAATTTTTTTTCATTTCTCCCCAAGCAAGGAGATAAAGCCACTAAGATACAACGGTTTACAGAGTGTGAAAGAATCTCAGAAAACTTTGAGGAAAGAGAACAAAAACAGAATTCAAGGAGACAGATGATGAATGACATGGCATTAAAATTTTTGAAGATCGTATTTGACAGGAAAGCAAGAAGCTGGAAGAAAGTTTGTGAAGCAAGTAGCGTGAGAAAAACTGTTAGCATATAAGTTATGATTATATCTAGCAATTTTGACAGTAAAATTATGAGACCTAGATACTAATCAAGTACTGTGCTTAAATTCCTGAAGTTGTACCATTTCTTAATCATTTTACACCAAGCAAGGTGCAAGAAATTACTGAGAGAGAGAGAATACCAGAAAAAGAAAACATTAAAGAGAGAGAATAAAAGAACAGGAATTAAGAAGACAGAAGAAAACAGTTGACATTGCATTTAAATTTTTGAAGCTCAAACTTGACTGGAAAGCAAGATGCTGGAACATTTTCACAAGTGAAGCGAGACAAAAGAAATGATTAGAACAGAACTTAGTTACATCTAGCCATTTCAATTGTAAAATGATGAGACCTTGCTACCAATCTAGTACTGCACTTAAATTTATAAACTCTAGGTACCAAGGAAGAGAGCTGATCAGAACAATTACATGAAAATATTTATACAAAATGCACATTATAGTAGTGAGAAAGTGACTGAAGCTGAGATGCCAGGTCAGGATTAATAACAGATTCTTTATATTTTATCAAAAATTTTTAAAAACACAGAAGCACCAGACCAGATGTGACAGAAATATTCAATGCAGACTTATGTGTTAATATAGATTCTGGCAAGAAAAAATATCTAGCACGACACAGCAAACCTACTTTCCCAGCAGCAAATATAGCAATTGATTCAATATAATCTTTCCATTTCATTAAGGGCATCTAATCGTATAATACCTTATTTCTCATATATTCCCTGCACTAAGCATCAGTGTATGTTGCACCTTCATATGCAACCATTTAGTCAACATGCAAAGTTCAATAAGTCACCAGAGTTCACAGTTAATCACTTTGTTAGTATGATATTCAATTTACAATAACTGCATTAATTATTCAGATATAAGAAAGGTTAGTAACAAAAATATAAAAAGATTAGGAACCTTGAATTTGGTGCTAATGGGATGAGCCCGTCTAAAAAGCATCTATACGTCAAGGGTCTTGGACTAACTGACCTCTGTATTAACTGATAATATTGTCAATAATTCATAAGTAATGAATTTTCGATCTTCCAGTTGTTTTGAAGAGACTGATTTTTATTGTTTTAATCATGTGCTCTCAGACACTTCCTACCCATGGGGAATAAAGAGGAAATTTTATGTATTTTATTGTTGTACTTGCAAAAATGTCAGCAAACAATTTATTATTTATGTGAATATTAACAATATTTTTGCCCAGGGCAGTGTTAGATGATTTAGCATTATCACTGTATATGTAGCTTGGTTCACCATAAAGATTGGTAAAACATGTTATGGTTTGAATGAAGGACTTAGTGTCCATATCTGGTACAATTTCAATGTGTACAGCTCATGCATTTAAATGCATAAATATCAACAAATAGACTTTGTTGCTTTCTTTTCTTTTTTCTACCCATATGTGGCCAGTGTAATCCTCTCATGTATGTTAAGGTTTAAGTTCACTCATAACATCCAGATGTCACTGATTTGACCGTCTTGCTTGGGTTACCCAATATCCAGATCATCCTATCTTTGTAATGGTTGCACCAACTCCCAAGTGTTTACACCGATGATGAGCTTCTTCAATAATTAGTCTCGTTATGTAATGATACTTAGCCAATATGGGATATTTTATTTCCAGTTTGAACCTGGCTACATTGGCTATCCTGCTATCTACTCATAGTATTCCATCCTTATCCAAGAAAATGTTTAAATTTTCCACTAATTTGGGATTTCACCATTATGAGGATCTCTCAAATACTTTCTCTTTCAAACACTTCTTCCTGCATTGATGATGAGAAAACATTGCATAATTATGTAAGTGTAGAGAATCTCTGTATGTTTATTATTGAGGCTGAATCCATCTTGGTAGTAGTGCCAAAATACAACTGACCACATATCTTTAGCTTTTGAATTCAAACACTCCAGACTGCTGCTAGGCCAGTAAAAAGAGTCTTTTGTTAGCCATGACAGACCATGTTTCCAGAACTCCAATTTAGTCACGAATTGGTCAACGTTAACTCATGTTAGCAGGATTCTCTGCTGAAGGTATGTATTTAAATTTTATCCTTTTTTATGATCATTCTCAATTTGATCTTTCATAGCTTGTATATCCTTAAGCTGGTTTCTGACAAATAGATTTTTAGTTTTAGGTGTATCACTAAGTAATCATGATAGTACATGTGCATCCACAATAATGGACACATTTTCAATAACATTTGAATATGATTTCAAAATTGTAGACAATGCTTTAAAGGTTATATGCACTACCAATAATTCCATGGTAGGAATGGATTTTGTTTTTATTGGAGACACTTTTTCTGGCAAAATGTATGTGTGAATTCTCATTTTGCATTGCATAAACAGCAAAACCATAAGCATGCAGTGATCACAAAACATGTATAAAGCTTCAAGGCCTCCTCTGTATTAATAGTACGGGACTCGGCCAAGTCCTGCACAAAAACATGTGTGCATGTCAGCAGGAGTTTATACACATATCAGCCTTTGAACCTGTGCAGAAGAATTATATACCGAGTTCACCATTCTTGCACTAAGCTTATCAACGAATGTGGTCCTGTTTAAAACTTTTTGTGGGGGTTGCAGGAAAATTTGTCCTGGGAGTATGAGTGTGGTGCCACACACCATCTCAGCAGATGAACAATTTAGGTCATCTTTAAATGCAGTGCGGAGTCCCAGAAGAACCAAAGGCAGATGCTCCAGCCAATTTGCCTGATCACGTCGGGGTCACCACTTATTAGTATTTTTTATAAGCCAGCCATAATTTACCAGCTATTTAGTGTCAGGAAGAATAATGCTTTATCCTGTACAACAAATACTAATATTAGCATTAGTGCAGCTATTGATACATTAACACTGAATGTGAATATAGAAAGACGATATGCAAACAAAACATTTAATGAGGCAAACAACTTGCATACACATTAGAAAGATTTACACATGTCCCAAAACAAATGATTGTTCATACTGTCCAAAGAACAAAAATGTTTAACAGAACAATGAACAAAGAAATAACATACCAGCCTTTGACTGTCCATAGCTAGGTGAATCAAAATTACGTTTTTCTCCAAGTTAGGCTGTGCACATGTTCATTTTCCACGTGTGGATGCCCTGGTGGTTAGGAAGGTACTAACCGTTCCACAAATGGAAGTAAATAAAAAAGGAGAAGAATTCTTCTCTCTAAAGGAGCTGAACTCCCATGCCCTCAACCCAAGGGAAACAACTCTCGTCTCCCTACAATAGCTTGACATGAGAAAGACATGTTGGATAATGTAGACAAGTCCTCTGCTAAGGCAGACCATGTTTCAAATATATTCTCGGAACTTCCTCATCCCAGTTTGATTTTATAAGTCAAAGTTTCCTTAAGATTAACTTCAATCTTATAGTAACAGGTACATATAACAATGGGTCAAAAATCCTGTCTGACCAGGCTAAGATCTGTCTGAGTCCTCACATTTCTGTTTATTGTGATCTTTGTCACTGTCATTGTATCATTGTTAGGACAATAGTTATATCCTAATATCTTTTCATAATCATCTTCATATTGTGAGATGGTATTTTTTGCCCTACATTTTCAGTGAACAGTTGAAAAACTACCTTTATTGCAGCTTGAGACTCCATTTTGAACACAGGTCTATGTGGAATCCAAACACATTTTTCATACTCTTCCGATGGCATGTGTATTCTTTAAAACCTTTTTCTTGCTGAAAGAATACTTCATTAGAAATCTTTATTCAGATTTTTACATTCAAGAGACTGCAATGATCTTTAAAGTACAGCTAGGGCTATTTTATAATTAGATGGAACAGAAATGATTTTGTCCTCATACCATGACAGATCAACATAATATTCATGGTTTTTGAATTCAATGGATTCCTTGAATTCTTCTAATTTTTTCTGTCATATGAAGTTATATCTATTTCCATAATAGCTACCTCTAACATAGGATCTACATTTCTTTCTACTAGAGACATATTAAAGATATCAGGTATGTTATCAGGGTAGGTGTCTCTTGCATTTAATACAAAATTTACTTCTTGCTCAGGACATTTGGGTAATTCCTTTATGATAGTAAAGTATAGTTTTGACTAACTGTAGTCTTGAAATTTACTGGTTTTATCTGATGATCATATAGAAAATGATTAATATCTCCAAATGGTGTTATACCACTCAGTAATTCCCATGCTAAGCCTCTCATACATTTAATGAGTTTGGTAGAATGCATGAATTGAAATATGTTGACACCTATTAATCCTAAGGTATCAACCTGGCCATGTTTATTTCTTGAAAAGAATAATCTTTTGTTGAAACTGATTAGATTTTTCTCAATTGAATCTAATTCAATTTTTAAGATAATATCAAATGCGCTATAAATTAATACAGGCAAAGGTAGTTCCATCCCCTTCTGTCTCAATATCTGGTACAATCTGATTAAATCACCTGTTAGCTTGTCCTAAGTATATTTTAACTTGAAAATCCACTTAACACTATCAGGACAATTTAGCCATTTAATTATTTTCTTTGAAAAGTACAAATGCTGATTACTGGTGTCTAATAAGCAATTGACTGCCGCCCTTTTTCCTCCCACCAGATGGGTAATTTTACTATATGGGTAATAAGAATTTATTCTCATCACAGGTGTTAGAACACATGTGTATACAGAGATATGCTTTTAATTTTTCACATAATGCTGTTATATGTTACTTAAAAGAACAATTTTTGCATGGATAAGACAATTTAGCTTTATGTCCGGGGCAGTTGTTTCTTATATGCTTTGAACTCAAGCACTTAGCAAATAGATGCATTAACTTACATTGCTCTTTGCAAGTCTCAACAATAGAGAACTTGGTACATTTAGTCATTCAATGTCCCTCATTAGCACATCATGTACAATGCATACCAGTGGAGCTTGTAGATAAATTCTGTAGAGCTGCCACAGAACCTTCCCTCTCCATAGTATTATGTTTATATTTTGAGATTTCACTATGATTAATTCATCTTGTTTTAGAAATAGTTCTGATAGCTTCATGTTCAAATATGTCGTTAAGAGTTGGGTAACTAGTTCCTGCCTGATGTATATCTCCACTCCTAAAATTGTGAGGAAGCCACCCAAATACGATATGGCTGACCAGTTTCAAACCCCTTGTGTCACCTTCAAAAAAATTGAATCCATAGGAAGTTTTAAGTTTGGACAAATTGGCATGAACTTCTGCCAAATATTTTACATTCACAAATTCAGCATCATATTTAGGCAGAGTTGTCAATATCTGTTTAAATATCTCATTAACTATGTATGGTGTGTCTAAAAATTCTTTGGTTAATAATTCTATTGCAATGCTAAAGTTTTTGTCTTCTAAAGTTAAATGGGACACTAATAGCTGAGCATAGCCTATTAAACATCTTTTTAAAATAGTTAGCTCTATCAGGTTGTACACTATGCAAAAAAACAAAAACAATAGAACACAAAGACTGATTGATTTACTGAAAATAAAGTGCTACACATGAAGCTCTAACAAGAATCCTGAGGTCAGTCTACTTATAGCTTTGTAATCTTTTAATTCAAACAAAGTGGTATCTAGAATAGTCACGTCTATTTTTTTCTGTAATACTTTTGTGATAAGCATTGAAATTTTGCAAGCAGTGTAAAGTCCTGGTTTTTTTCAGCCTTCTCTGCCATTTCATCTGCACCTTGCTGCAATACTTTGATGTTGGCCATAATTTTTTGTCTCCTTTTGATCACTTTTGTGATTTCAGAGCTGAGGTTTTTCCTTTTAATGTCATTTGCAGATTCTTTTTTTTCTTTTTCTCCTCCAAATAACTAACATACATCATTCTTGAAGATTTGCAATGATGTATTAGGGACCTAGGTATTATTTTTAATGGGCCATCCGACAATGAATCTTGTATAAGCCTTAGAGAAATCAGTGTCTTCTCTTTCAGGTTTCGTACCAAAATGTCCATGTTTACAGAGTATCTGCTTTCAAATGCTGCTTGCCCATGTGACAATGTGAAAAGGTTTTGCAGCAACTTCCACAGATTTGTGTATTCTATTTTAACTCTTAAAAAAAATTTAAGAAATGTGTGCTCGACAGGAGCTACTTCTGTAGTTAAGCTCTAGGAACTCGTTTATTTTTTTTGGGGGGGGGTATCTCAGATACCAGTGAGAATTTGGTCATATTGCTGTGCAGTATGCCATTTGGCATTCAAAGACAGAGCTTTTCAAATTTTAATATGACACTCCTCTGTTCACTAAACATGAACAAAGGATCAAGAGATCTTAAATGCCTTACTGCCACATAATTCTGTAGATATTTTCCAGAAAATTCTTTGCAGATTCCTTTGTAGAGAGGAAGGTTAGACATTTTTTCCTGAACTGCCCAGCAATTGGTTGCCAGGAAGATTCTCAGAGGATCTGATAACAGTATGTTTGGTGGCATTGCCATTGTCGACCTCTTTAATGATACATGAAGCTCTTTGTTCAACACATTAAATTTGGACAAATGTAAGGGTGTACTGTTGGCCTTGTTACATCTGTTTATGAAGCACGAAAGAAAATTAAACAGAATGGATTTAAGTTCTTTTGCCAAAAAAAGCCATCATGGGGGCATCCTTTTGAAAACCTTCAAGGAAGGGTCTGAGCAGCCTTGTCATATAGATAAAAAACTGTAGCTTGGCTTCAAAAAGGGGATCACTAACAGCCATTTATATTATGAGATATGACAATGCTGTTGGTTTCACCTTGCTGAATTTTTTTGTAGGGGTTCATAAATTTCTGTACAGATGGCCCACACTGCAACTGGCAAATCTTCTATCCACCTGTGGGCACAAAATTTGAGGGATTTTTTTTTTTTTTTTTAAATTTCAATGAAATCATCTGGCCCAGCTAGTGTATCATGAAAAATCTGCCAAAGTACTCTTCCATCCGGTCTCCTCATTCCGTTGGAAAGTCCCATAAACTAACTCTTACTAACCTTTGAGCATTCAGGTCCTCCTTACTTCTGACCTACTCAAATATTCTCATAAACTTCCACTTTACTTGTGGGCCATCTATAAATATTTGTAGGAGCTTGTTTGGATCAAGTGGAGATAGAGAATTCTTCATTCTCTCATGCAGTACCTCTGCTTGGGTATGTCCCGAGAGTCCCAATAATTTACTACTACCTTCTCTTCACTCTCCAGTACCAAACAATTAAATCCATTTGCTTAGTCTGAGAAACCTTATTCAGGCATTTGTCAAATGAAATGATGCAGCAATTTCATTGTCTGCTACCTTTTATAAGTTCCTCTCTGAAAATGGGTGCTAAGCCAAAACAAATCAGGTATGCTGCTTTGGTTGCACTACATGCAAATGTTTTAGTAATGTTATTATGAGGAAACATCTGAGCAAACAACGTGTCCAAATCTGAACAGGAGTTGAAAATGAGACAGGGTCTTTTTCTTAGCACCCAGCAGATCTCTGCTTCCAAAACAGCTTCACTTGAAAAATATGTATTAATTTTGGGTGTAACTTGGGATGGAGCTACACTTTCAGAAGTTGATGGTTAGGCTTCTTGCCTGCTTACCAGCTTCAGAATTCTGGGTGGAAGGTTGATTCAAGAAATCAGTCATTTGCAGTTTACTGCCTTCACCTCCTATAGCCTTGTGTCCCTGTCCTTTGGCAGGACTTAATGGCAGAAAAGCCCATGTTGTTAATATCAAATGATTTTTGGCAAATCTTGCAATATGCACGGTGAACATTACCAGCCACATGTCTTATCCAGATCTTGAACTCAGGATTTTCATTCTATTCCTCGACATTTCTGTCCTGGCTACTACTTCTGTAAATTAAGTTGAAATAAATTATCATAATTAATAATTATGCTATCATATCTGACAACATCATTCAACATTAGTACTATTCAACAAGTTGACAAAATGAAAATGTTCTATTAAAAGTTTCATACTTACATTTACACTTAACTAATATTTTCAGTCAAAATTAACTATTTTATTCATCAGGCAAGTCGTTTTGTAAATTAACAAAAAAATAGTAAATGAACAATTTGTATTCATATTCTTCAGACACGGGTTTTGGTTATTAAAAGAAACTGAAGTATGAAATCCAAGGGATAATCTTATATTCATTCTGAAATGTGAAACGTAGGTTATATTTAAATTTATTTTAATATTTTTATTTAAATTTTCCAGGATGTGTGGGAACCCTGTTACCCTTATGTGTGCTATCGTCCCTTAAATCTACTATTAATCTTATTTGCTCAATACTTTTTTTCTGTATCCATGAAATGTTCGGTAATTTTATTGTTAGTTTCTAAAATCTTAGAAAGTAGCTTCCCATTCGCTGACTTACTGTCTAAAAATACATCTTATTAAACCTCTCATTTCTAAAGTTTTTAATTTAATATTTATATTTATTTTAGCAGCACTTAGTTTTTAATAGAGCTTTAAAACCCTTCACTTCTTTATACATGCTTCCCATTTTTACTTTTTTTTTAAAATCATGTAACAAATCTCAGTTTGAAATTCTTTTAAAAATCAATTATTTTTTTCAAAACTTATTTTAAGAAAATCAGAAATTGTTTATTTAAAATATTTTGAACCAAGCTTAACTTAGCTTCTGCACTGAAAAGATGTAATTTGAAAATAAAACAAAGCAGGTCATAACCTTTCGTGTCACTTGACAGGTGATGAATGACGTATTGATGGATTACGTGAAGAAAATTTATTCTACGGAAGGAGAGAAGTGAAATTATTTAGAGTTAAGTAAACAAATTATTTACCTTGTTATTTTTAAGGAAAACTTTCAGCGCTCTAATTTTTTTTTTTTGTACTTAGCTTTCACCTTTACATTTATGATGCTTAATGAAAAATATATCAAAGAAATTAAAATAAGACTGTTAAGAGTCTTATAACTGAGATTAATATAAAAATAAAATCATAAATTTCATAAGATGATAATAATACTTGTAGGTACCCTTCTCAGTTGAAATTGAGAAATCAAATTAACTTCACACGTATTTCGCAAATGAAAAGGCCTTAACAATGGAGAACAATGCTTAACTCAAATAACACAACTTAATTGTATTCTGGTTGGTCTTCCGTACTTTATAATTACAGCCCGATTATAAACACAAAATTACATTTAATTACTGCAGGTCTTTTGATTAGTAAAAATGATACAATTTGCAACGTGCAAAAAAAAAAAAAAAAAAAAAAAAAAAAAGGATCTATCTCATAAGGACACTTAGGAAACCCGATGCGGCTTTTAACTAATTTTATATTTTAACAACTTAAATGTAAAAATCATAATTAAAGAAATAACAAATAATTGTATTAAAAATTCATTTTTCATTGAAAAAATTTTTTGCTTACAGAAAATATTGTCTATATTCATAAAAGCAAATAAAAGCATTTGAAATTAAATAATCTTTGTTTTATTGAGTTTTGTATGTTACAATTCAGAGCTGATTTCCAGGTGGAGGTGGGGTTAAAAAAAAAAAAAAAAAAAAAATTTGCATTCCTGAAAGCCTTGTGCATTTAACTATTGTAATCACTAAACTGTATTGAATTTCTAGAGTTTTCATAAAATTAGTGGGGGGGGGGGGGATAAAAAAAAAAAGCAAAAAAAAGCAAAAACAAAAAAAATAATTTCATTCATAATAATTTCATTCATCTATGAATAGTTTCTGAATGTTTCATTAACATTCGACAATCATTTTTATTTTTGCAAGATTTTCCAAATTAATGTGTGTCATACAAAAGTGCTAAAAATTGTATGTTATTTTACTAATTCCGGTGATACAAAGAGAAACTAGTTTTTTTTTTTGTTTTGTTTTTTTAACATCAAAATTTAGAGAATGTTCTATAAAGAAGGAAAAATTAAAAAAAAAAATAATTAAAAAAACTTTAGTCTTTCCTCTTAATTAATAATAAACATTTAGACGATAAAATTTTGTTTTCTTCAAGTTTGACATCTTTTTCACCATGATGCTGTTTTTTTTCTTTTTTTTTTAATGATCTCATGGAGTTATCTACGTTACGTTAAATAATTCAAGAAAACTCAAAATATAATTTTTGTTGAGAGCATAAAACTGGTAAATTTTGGTTGTTTCCCCCGAGTGCTAATATTCCTTAATTTTTTTCAAAAATCGTCATAATTCAGTGCAAATATACATGCTGAACTCGAATTAATAATTATTAAATTATGAAGAAACCTTCATAACTTTGGAGTTACTGACAAAAAAAAAAAAAAAAAAAAAAAATCGGACTTCTTGTTGGTCATTCGTCCCCCATTACTGTCATCATGTTTAATTCACTGCGCAGTACCTACACAAGCGTAATCAGAAAAATTGGCCTATTTACAGACTTTCCTCGCAGAAAATCACTATGCACTACATAAAGAAATGTAATTTTTTTTTTTTTGCTATTCAAAACTGAAAAAAGGTTTTGTTGTCTTATTTAATGTCTTTGTTATAAATAAAACTACACTTACTTACCAAAAAAAAAAAAAAAAATTACATTTCTTTACGATAGTGCGTAGTGATTTTCTGCAAGGAAAGTCTGTAAAAGTAAATAGGCCAAATTTTCTGATTACGCCTGCGTAGGTACTACACAGTGAATTAGTAAACATGATGACATGGTGGACGAATGATCAACAAAAAGTCCGATTATTTCTTGTCAATAACTCCAAAACGGTAAGGTTTCTTCATAATCTAATTGTTAATTAAAGTTCAGCATGTACATCGGCACGGAATTATGACGATTTTGGAAAAATTTTAAGGGATATTAGCGCTCGGGAAACAAAACCAAAATTTACCAAAACATTTTCCTAAAATTCAAATTTGACAGGAAAAAAATGTACATTCAATATTTATAAAAAAATTGCCAGAAATTTTTCAGTGCAATCTTGAATTTCATCCAGTTGCTGTTTATAACAAGTTTTTTTTTTTCATTAAGGAGGTGGTCGAAGAAGTGAAAAATGTAAGAATTCAAGTGGTGGTGGAAGCAAATGACCCTTTTCTTGAATGTTATTGCTCTTACTCATTATTCTATTTAATAAATTTCTTTAATGTTAGAGACAAGATAAAAAAAAATAATGGCATCTGTATTCAGTACAGGATCTGTTTTCATTTTTGAATGATAGCATTTTTGTATTTCATGGATTATTTTGCTACGTTTTCACCACTTCCTGAATAGTAATACTGATAAAGTGCAGTCAAACATTTACTTTAAAAACAAAAATGAAAAGTATGCTTTCTTTTCAAACAGATTGTTTAAATATGTGTACTGTACACTTAAATTTTAAAAGTACTAAGTAAAAAATTAGTCTAAACAATTTTAAATTTGCTGTGTACCCTTCTTAAGTTGAGTTTATTTACTCTTACTTATCAATTTTCATTAAAAATAGAAATTTGGCACTACTTAAATAGTCATGGGTCGATTTTATGAACAGGACACCCGCCTTAAATCAATAAAAAAAACTTAATGTTTTTCGATTTTGACAAATGTCGCGCCTCGAGGAAAGACTAAAAAGGAATGCTAATCTTTCCGATTCCCTGCTGAAATATTTTCCCTATTTTTTTTTCCACTTAAGACGGTTAAATATTTGCAAAAAATATTTGAACTTTCACACATTGCAGGAGGAATCACAATTTTTATTTATAGTATTTAACAATACATTGTAAATTTTAATAAAGCGAAAAGAA